CAACTTTAAAATATAACAAAGTAATTAAGAAGAGCAAGTTAATTAATAGGCACCAAATCTGTCACTTTTCCTTTAAACTATTCGGCATCTTGAATGGCTTCCAGGTAACCTTATCCACGCTTCTCCCTCCCTTAGCGCCTTCTCGTATTTGCCTGATATTTGCCTCAACTACATTTTCTAAGGTTTGGACAAGGCTGAGACTGGCACTGCATCAAGACAATCTCACCTCACCTGAGCATTTGCCGGAGTTTCTGGAATCTAATTTAGCCTTATCCTAGTCCATTAAACTAAACACATTCTTCTACAATGAGAGAATCTTCATGGATAACTGTGTGTACTACTATAGCTTTTCTTTAAATCTCTAATAGTTATCAAAAACAGAGAAAGGGAGCACAAAACAAATGTAGCTCACTGGTGGAAAAGGAGGAATACGCTCAGGAAACATTATTGCATTGCACCCAACACATATGCTCACACAATCATCACATTGAGGAAATATTTTATGGGCTGAATTCCTGAAGACATGGCTGTAACATCTAAAGGATATGGTCTAAGCACTAAATACCAGCTTTTCTCATCTCCTGGGGGAAAAAGAGAAGGAAAGGTATTAGGAAAAATTGAGAGAAAATGCTAATAAGGAACTATAAGCCTGATGCTTCGATACGTGGCCATGAGAGTCATTTCTATGTTGGGAACAATGAGGTGCCCACTGCTTCACCCCAACTCTTAGTCCCAATGGCATTCCACCTTTGCAGACCACAAAGAAACTTGCCCTCTTGCACACAGCCTTGGCAACTGCACAGCCCTCCCCTGCAAGGTCCTTGCGGGGAGTTCCTCACACTGAGCCTGAGCCCCACGGACAGTGTCGCCATTGCCATCATTGTCACAAGAACTGGTTTGTCTTCCTTCTCCCCCATATTAGACTACATGTTCCTTGAGGACAGAAATCAAGCTTCAATATGCATGCTTCATCAACACCTAAAGCAGCACAAGTATTTCTTGAATAATGATAATGATCCAAATTAACTAATGCTAACCAATTTAAACCAATTATAGCTCTGCTGTCAAAACACAAAGGTATCCATCATACGTCTTAAAGATTACCACCCACACCCCCACACAATAGTTAAAGGTCTCTAGAGGGAACCAGCTTTCTGAACTCATGGCACATCACAACTCATTCCTAGACTCTAGAAAGCTCCAGGTTTTACTACACTGACAATTCAGAGACACATCAGCATTCCCCTAATTCTAAAAAGGAAGACCACAAAAAAAAAAAACAGTGAATGTTTGGACTCTTATTTTTAAAAGATAAACAGATACCTCTTCCGTTTCAGGAGCAACCTGGGAACCAGTAATCTCATCTAAGTCAGCTTCAGCAACAAAGTCTTCCTGCTCTGGCAGCCCTTGTTGCCCACCATAAGCCTGCAAGTATTCTTCATCCTAACAGCCATTAAAGAGAAAGCAAATTTTTCTCATACAGCTTTTGGGTGGTTTGTTTTTTTAATTTTCCCAAAAAGGTATGTTTCATCTTTATCACTCATGCTTAATTATTTTAGTAAATTTCTCTATGATAATTACATAAGTAAGCACAAAGCATTAAGCACATATAAAGAACGTAATCTCTTCCATGCATGAATGCGAACAAAGCACACCATGCGAACTGCTCACCTGCGTTCTGCTCCCTGTCTCACAGGACTCCTTCAAACGATGCTAAGGAAAAGCAAGCTTAGAAGAAGCACGCGTGCAAGCTCTCATGGAGGAGCTCGGCAGTAGAGAGGGGTCTAAATCACACCCACATCTTGACGATTAAAGAAAGGCAACCTGAGTGTGGGCAAGTCAACACAGGAGTGTTTTGAAAACCACATCTGACTTTTGGTTTCCCCATGTGATCCTTGCCCTGAATGAAAAGACCATTCCAGGGTTTGCTTTAAATGACAAAGGGCATATGAGAGCAGGTACGTCCTTTGGGCATAAGAAAGACAGCAGGCAAGCTGACTGAAGATTGCAACACCAACTAAAGTGTCAGAGCTTCAACTGGGACCACTAACAAGTATGGAGAAGAGCTGATCCTACTTGACCAAGGTGAGCTGCCCAGGATCCCTGGCCAACTGCTACAAATAAACAGTAAAATGATAACGAGGCAAACTACTTAATAACCCTAACCACCTACAATATGGTACATTCAGTGTCACCTTAAATCCCAAAAAAAGCCATCTCTTTGGAATTGACAAATGACCTCAGTTCCCATAACTAGCTCTGAAGACAACTGGAAACAGTGTGTTTTAACTTTCCACAACAAACTGTAACCATCCTACCAAAGGAACAACTCACGATCCATCATTCACCCAGAGCAGAACACACAGACTTCAACCAAGGCCAGCGGATACGCACCAAAATGTTCAGTCAATACACAGTCCCTCCACTGGATTCTCAACGCGAAACAAGAATTCACTACCCCTTACATAAGCATCAATCGGAAATTGCTTTTGCAAAATGTTTTATGAAATCTCAATCTATATTCATTTCACAGGCCCCAATAAACTGAATGCTCAGGAAAACATGTCATTAATGATTTCCTCACATGCTCTTGATTAACAAGCAACATACATTCCATATACATACAAGAGCACAAGTTTTAAATACTTTGACAGTTCAACCTCAAAAATAGCAAAAGCAGAATTCACAAAATTAAGGACCTTACTGACTGCAAAATACTAAGCAAGAACACCAAGCTTGTGCCACCAGCTCTTTCAACACTTTTAGACCTCCTTTCTTCACTGGTTAACAGTGTCTCATTCAATTACAAAACAGCAGCCTTAGAATTCTGCTCCCAATTGAGCACTAACCACTTAGCTGGCAGTAAGAACATGTTACTTTCTGCCCTGCTCTTCAGAGTTCCAGTCTGTATTTAGTCTGTTATGAATAATTCCTAACGAGACAAGGGGAAAACCACTTACTAAACTAAAATACGATTGGGGTACACAGGGACATATTCTATTCATGGGTTCATCAGAGTTACAATGAAAAAATTAACTGCACCAGCGACAGCCTGTAGATGGTAACAGAGGCTCCCACTGCTAAGCAAAGGAATGGTGCTCGAGTAGAATTCTATGGAACTCCTCTCCCTCGGTGGTTATTTCAGATGGCACCATGGTGATGGTGATAAGTACAACAACCCCAGCATGACTGCGGCTTTAACACACAGGAAGGTAACCCGACACTCCTTCCAGGAAGACACTGAACTGGTTCATTCTTCTCACCTTCAAAGTTGACAACCCTAAACTCTTTTGAAGTTTTTAAGGAAAAGTGTTCAGGAAAATAAAACTCAGTTCTAATGTGGAAGAAGACTATCATTATTACTAAGCTCTAACATTTTCTTTAAACACATCGATCTGAGACCATAAAATACTGGGTAATCATGCTAGATTATTCCAACACAGAGGGACTGAGGCATTCCTCACGCTAGGAATTCTCTTTACACAAATTCTGCAAAATGCAAGAATGCCAAAGTGGAGACGCCACCTATGTGGCCTGTGCCTATTTCTCTATCGCGCACTTCCCACATGGGACTGACCCACTAAATCCTTAGCTCATGGGTAACCTGTATGTCTTCACTAGAAGGTTGAGCATTATTTGTGTCCCCTATGCTTAGGCACTGGTTAAGTATTTGTTGAACTGCAGAATTTATAAGGGAAATGGACCCCAGAAAAGATTAGTCAATTTTATTTTACTAATAAGTAGTGGAACAGGTCATGTAGCTAGAGAATAGGCAGATATCTGACAGACTGTAGTTTTTGAACCTTTACAGCGTCTTCCTTTAGGAAAGCACACAGACACGCCAGGAAACCAGAAGACGCCTGTCCACCCTAGTGAGGATCTTGTTTCCACAGTAAATAGTTACAGCATTACTGGAATAACAACTCCCCAGGACGCCTTTTACATGATCCTATTTGTCAAAACTAAAAACATTTTTTCATGACTAAACCTAACAGTCACCAAAAGAATCGAAACCTTGAAACTACCGACAACTAAACACAGTCAGGATTGGAACTATTAGAACTATTCCAAGGTTCTACACAAAAACTCCTTCTCAAAATGGTTAATCAAAATAGCAATGCAGCAGCTTTTGAGCTTGATTTTCAAATTATGGCATACTTTGGGAGAAAATACAAACAGATCAAAATTGAACTATTCCTAAAAGGCAATCTTGAAGGTCAATCCTGCAAAATTCCATCCCCGTCTCACAGCCCCATTTACAAACTCCTGTAAGACAATACTGCACCCACAGATCACATCTGTCCCTCATGAATTTCACTGTTTATTTTAAAAACACCTCTCTCTCATGGAGAATCACTGAGACAGAGAGCAATCCTACACTACGCTCTTATTCCATGACGATTCAACTTAAGGGAAAAAAAAAAGAAACTACCCTTAAAAGCTGTCTTTGTGAAATAAAGATCGGTGCAATCTTTGCCTTCTGATTATAGATAACAAATTATGTGTGACATTTCCTAAACTAACCTCCAATCTCTTTATTCAGGTTTTGACAGTTCTCAGTTACAGAAAAAGATGAATGAATAGGACATCAATCACCATGGAATATTAGCTCCTTAAAGATGTCTTTAGCAGGTCAATAATCTTTTCACCTTAGAAGGACTTTATCAGATCTTGTCTAAAGCCTGGATAAAAGCTCTGCATTAAGTACTTCTAACAATGCATGGTATATCTCCAACACACAAAGCCGTTTTCTTCCTTAGGGTGCAATTCTCAAGGTCAGGATTTTTTGCAGCCTTCCAGCGTGACAAAGGAGCATTACCTCTGGCCAAACAAGCTGTCAACACAAACTTTGTCATAGCTCAGATAAAGAAACTGGCAGACAGTGATAATAAGGTCTAATTTCCCTCCGTCCCAAGGGAGGGAAACAGATCTCAGATCAGTCTAGAAGCAATGCACCAGAAGCCTAGCTAGCCTGGGTCAGACAAAGCGGAAGGACTCACGGTAAACTCATCTAAAGGCTCGTTGATCTCGATGTCCAGCACCTCGTCATTGTAAAGCTGCTCCTCCTCCGGCTCCTCCACATATTCTATTTGGTCTTCGGCCAACTCGGCCTCCTGGCCTTCGTACTGGCCTTCTTCCGGGTACTCTTGCGAATATAACTCCGTTCTATCAGATTTGTGGTAAATTAATTCATCTTCGCCTTGCTCATACTCCGATTCCTGCTCTCCAGACTGGTCATTAGTGTTGTCAAAGGATGTAACCATGCCAGATGTGGCATTCAGGCTAATTTTGACACCCTGGGAGCTAGAAAGCAAAGAAATGCAAGCAAAGGAATAAAAAGAGAACAGGGCTCAAAAGTAAATCACCATGCAAGCTTTACTGAAAAATGTACATTTATTCCATCAGTGAGAGAAACAGAGCTCAATCAGTACACTGTGCCGAGTCCCTGCTGTAAGCTCTCACGCACACTGCAGGACTTCCTGTGCCACACCCAGAATGCACACAGCAGGGCTCGGTGTGCTGACCTCTCAGCACGGGCCCATAGTTAACCACAAGAATCCAATCAACCAGATGAGGAGGAAGTTGGGACCGACCAGAGTCTGAGACTGAACTCAAATATACTTGAACTTTTAGATTAAAATGACAGGACTTACTATTAAGATTTGTAGACAGCACTTTAAAAACAATTCACTAAAAAAAAAAAAAAATTCTATTTATTTGGAAGAGTCACAGAGACAGAAGGAAAGACAAAGAGGTTTTTCATTTGCTGATCGACTCCCCAAATAGCCTCAACAGCCAGGGTGGGGCCAGGCTCAAGGCAGAAGTCTCTTCCGGATGTCCGACCCAGGTCCAGGGGCTCAAGCACTTGGGCCACCTTGCACTGCTTCCCAGGACATTAGCAGGGAGATGGACTGAAAATGGAGCAGCTAGGACTCAAACTGGCACCCATACAGGATGTTAGCATTATAGGTGACAGCTTAACGCACTATGCCACAATGTGGACCTCTGATCTTCTTTTTATAAAACTATGAAGCAAAGTGCAAACTCTAAAAAAAAAAAATCAAAACAGAAAAAGACCACATGAAATACAGCTCAATAGTCAATAAAATAAAATTTATAACAGTGATAAATATCTTTTAAAAATCATTACTGGGCCTGGCAAAATAGCGTAGCGGCTAAAGTCCTCACCTTGCGTGCTGGAATTCGACATGGGCACCGGTTTCAGTTGCGGCAGCCCTGCTTCCCATCCAGCTCCCTGCTTGTGGCCTGGGAAAGCAGTCAAGGCCAGCCCAAAGCCTAGGGACCCTGTTCCGATGTGGGAGACCTGGAAGAGGCTCAGGGCTTCTGGCTTCAGATTAGCACAGCTCTGGCCGTTGCAACCACTTGAGGAGTGTATCAGAGGGCAGAAGATATTCCTCTCTGTCTCTCCTCCTCTGCGTATATCTAACATTCCAAAGGGAAAAAATAAATATCTTAAAAAAATTCATTCTTAACTTCTGAGTAACAGAGAGAATAGCATTGTGGCAGAGTGGGTTAAGCTCCCACTTGAGATAAGACTTGAGCATTCTATCATATCAGAATGCCAGCTTAAGACCCAGCTGCTCTGCTTCTGATCCAGCTTCCTGTTAATGCTCCTGCAAAGGCAGCAGAAGATGGCCTTGCCACCTGTGGGGAGAATAGATCAAATTCCAGACTTCGGCTTAGCTTGGCCCCACCCTGACTGCTGCAACCATTCATAGAATAAACCAAAAAATGTAAGACCTCTTCCATCTCTGTCACTGTGCTTTTCAAATAAATTATTAAATCTTAAAAAAAAGGGGGGGGGTGGGTAAAAATTTTTAAAATAAAACAAAAAAACTTTCAAAAAAAAAATCACAGCAGCTAAACACGGAGAACACTTCAAGTACAGGACTGCACGTAAATACGTGTTTATACAGGCTAAGCACCCAATCCAAAGGAACAAGAAACAATACTGCTAGGGAAAAAAACCCTCAGTAAATACTTCCAAAATACAGTGTCAACTCACCGAACTAAAAACATACGCAACTGGTAAGTAACGCAAAGCTACTTTTAGCTGTAAAAATTACTCTACATTAGAAAACGTGTTTCAAATCTATGGCTAGGTAATATATGGCATATATTTGTTAATTACTTATACATATAAAACACCAAAACTTACATTCATGTTTTTCTTACATTTCCTCATAAAACTGAAAGAATTCTACTCTCAAAGTAAACTTAGTCTCCTCTTTTCATAATATAATCACTATGTCAATAGAAAGACCCATTATAATTACCCAAAGTCAGAAGTACAAAGGCACTTTCAAAACAGTAACGCTGGCAAATAGGATGGTATGTAACAACGGTCTAAAACAAAAACAAAGGCAGCAACATCCAGCTCTGCTCAAGAGTTCCTGACGGGGTGGAGGCCAGCACTGCAGCCTAGGGGTTAAGGCATTCCACTAGGGCTCCCATTCCAACCGGGCTTCCTGCCAACAGGCCTGGGAATGCTTGGGAAGCTGCACTCACACAGGAAGTCCCTGGGTCTCCCAGCAGGAAGCCCATCCAGCAGCAGATGAAAGCCTGCACTCACTAGCTGTGAGAGCTCTCTTTCAAATAAGTCTTTAGAAAGAGGGCGAGGCTGCTGGCCTCCATCCAAATAGCTTTAATTTTTTAAAAGACCAGTAACAACTAAATGGAACTCAAAGACTGTTAAACGTAAGACTTACACTAACCCATAAACAGTATATAGCTACAGAAAACATTTGGCTTTCACATTGAAATTTTAATAATAATTCCACTTAGAATACAGCTACATGTGAAAGATAAATAGCACATTATTCAATTTCATTTAAAAACCACAAATAATTCTTATTAATTTAAATAACAAACGTTTTAATGAGTTAATAGTACCTGAAATTTTCTTCATCTTCATTGTCGCTCTGTAAAAGATCATCATTTAGCTCTTCATCTGACAGATCCGACTGATTCTAATTAAAACAAGAAATGTAATTAATATGTGCCACTTCTATAACAAGACTTGTTACCACAGTACAAAGTTATATGAACTGGAATATTTGTACCACGATGAACACACTTTCCACCCAGAAGATGGTCCTAGGTTGATTTCGCCAGTGGGCAGTCCGGATATTCCACATACAACACACCAGCTGTTTTCTCCAGACTAAGGTGTGGATGCCAACACCAAAGACAGAAGCAGCAAATGCAGTTACTGAATTTATTCAAATTAAGCACAAAAGGAAGTGTAGAAGCTCACTGGTGGGATCCTACAAGTAATTTTTTCCTTATCAGGCACAAAAAAAAGAATGGTTTGCTTAAGATGTAACTATAAGCCTGACACTGAAAATATACTTTAAAAATAAGCAAGCTTTAGATAACTGAACCACCAGACTAGCAATTTTGGTTTTTCCAAAATAAAACACACACAAAAATGTTGATAGTACACTTCCTCATTGTGCCAGACTTTTTAATTTTTTTATTATATTATTATTTATATCATTCCACAGGCCATGGGATTTCTGCTTTCCCCTCCCCAAAATGTCTTGCCGCCTGCCCTCCTCCAATTCCCCCTATATATTATTACAATACAGCCCTTCATAAACAGATGTAAGTCCTACTGAGTAACAGACACAGGAAACAAAAGAAAATAACCACTTCACTGGAGAAGCTGAACAGAAAACTGGGCTAAAACCCCGAGGCCAAAGCCGATTTTCAGCACGTCCCAGTGAGGCTGGGTGAACTGCTCAGCGGAGGCTGGAGGAGCTGGTGATGGGTGTACAGGAAAGTAGGGCACACAGACCCAGGAGAGGAAGACAAGGTGGCCAAGGATGCTACTGACATCCTTTCTGCCAATGTATTTTAAAGAACAGGCTTTTCCTCCCATGAAAAAAAGTAGGCAGGAAAGAAAAGGAAGGGCTCATGGGCAATCAGAAGTTTAACAGTAGGGAGAAAGGAAAACGCAGTTGGCCTAGCAGGTGGGACACAAGTTAAAACTCACGCCCCATTGCAGTACCTGGCTTCAATGCTTGACTGCAGCTTCTTACTGAGACCCAAGGAGTAACAGATATAGAAATTACCCACCCAGCAGAAACGGACTGCACTTCCAAATCCATTTTCTGATCCCGGGCCAGCCTCAACTACCACAGGTAACTGGAAGGTTACTCAGAGAATTAGGGGGAGCACTGGCTTGCTCTCATTCTTTCTCAAATAAATAAAATTAAAACGGGAGAAAATGTTCCCCAGATATAGCCCACAATGGCATACATAAAAGGACTACCTCATTTACCATAACAACTGCTCACTGCTACTCAGTGCAGAATTGAAACACACACACACACACACACAAGAAATATGTCAAATTCTTTCTCAATCTTACCCAGCATTTTAAAATTGTAACTTGGTCTCATTAGCACCTAAATTTGAAGTCCTGTATCTCAACCATATATTTAAAACTCAACGCTAGGGGTTGGCATCGTGACCCCAGCAGGTTAAACTGCCTCTTGAGAGCTGCACCCATGTGAACACACATTTGGGTGCTGACTGGAGTCTTGGCTGCTGCACTTCCGATCCAGTGCCCTGCAGCAGATGGCACCATTACCTGGGCCTTTACTATTCCCATGCAGAGCCTGAAGCTCCCGAATTCAGCCTGGTACAGCTCTCACTGTTGCAACCCCTAAGGAGTGAACCAGCACACAACTTACAGACAGATGCACATGAAAGGTAACTGCTGTGAAAGTTTTACTTGATCCAAAAGGGTTTTGAAAAGTCTACAGGTTTGGGACCAGTATGATGGTGCAGAGCAGGCTAAGCCTCAGCCTGCAGTGCCAGCTTCCCAAAGGCACAGGATTCTCAGCTGGTCCACTTATAATCCAGCTCCCAGCTAATGCATCTGGGAAAGCTGCAAAGAATGGCCCAAGTCCTTGAGAGTCTGGGCCCACAATGGGAGACCTGCAAGATGTTCCTGGCTCTTAGCTTCAGATCACTTTAACTCTGGCGTTCATGGCCTTTTGGGTACTGAACCAGCAAATGGAAAACCTCTCTCTCTCTCCTTCTCCCTGTTTAACTCTTACAAATTAAAAACTAAATATATATTCAGGTCTTAAGACTTTTTTGAATGCCTGCTATAATGAATTACTGATTCACTATGCAATATGTGAAACTCTAAATATCCCCTTCCTCTGGGCAATGAGTAATTCGAACCCAGAATGCCTGCTAGAAGGCAATGCACGAGGCAGGAACTAAAGGATGTGCTTCAAGGGATTTACTGCTTGAATTACAATCAGCTCTTTGTGCAATTAAAATAAACCAACTTACAAAAATGTAACCTACACTGAGTAGACCCATTCCAGTAGACGCATCCCAGCAGACCCATCCCAGTAGACACATCCCAGTAGACCCATCCCAGCAGACCCATCCCAGCAGACCCATCTCAGCAGACCCATCCCAGGAGGCACATCCCAGTAGACACATCCCAGCAGACCCATCCCAGTAGACACATCCCAGTAGACCCATCCCAGTAGACCCATCCCAGTAGACACATCCCAGCAGACCCATCCCAGCAGACACATCCCAGTAGACACATCCCAGTAGACACATCCCAGTAGACACATCCCAGTAGACACATCCCAGCAGACCCATCCCAGTAGACCCATCCCAGTAGACACATCCCAGTAGACCCATCCCAGTAGACACATCCCAGTAGACACATCCCAGTAGACACATCCCAGTAGACCCATCCCAGTAGACACATCCAGTAGACACATCCCAGTAGACACATCCCAGTAGACACATCCAGTAACAAATTCCAGATGCCTGAGCAACATAGTTTCATATTCTAAATACAATTAAATGATTACTGTTTCATTTCTGAAGGAACTCGAACGCTTACCTTTTTGCCAGAGAGCAAGTCTTCTCCAAGTAAGTCATCCTCCAGTTCACTGGGGAGAGACATACAGCAATGTGTTATTCCTAAAAGTCTGCAGATCGTTGAAATTTGCCAAGGACTCCAGAGTTTGGGCACCCTCATTTTAACTTTGTTATCTATTCTTCTGAAATACTCAGGGAGCATTTCTGGGTCACAAACATATGATGAGGTACCTCACTGGACTTCTATTCTCGGTTTCTAAGTACCAGATCTTAATTTCACTGCACAATCAATGAAAGAAGAAACTAATAAGTAAATCTAAAAACAGGAGATGAAGCAAGAAACTATTAAATACCACTAATTCGGAAGACCCAAAACCTAAGAGACTAGAACGCAGTCATCAATAAGGCAAAAACTAACTCAATCAACTTTATAACTATGCTGAGGACACCAAATTAAATCATTGCGACAAAGGAATGATCGTTATTCAGTGTGGAAGTCACAGTGGTGAACTGCAATTCTTCCCTACCTACTAGGGTTTGGAAATGATTAAAGCACAGGTCCGGGGCAGTGGCCTAGCAGCTAAAGTCCTCGCCTTGAATGCTCCAGGATCCCATATGGGCGCCAGTTCGAATCCCGGCAGCTCCACTGCCATCCAGCTCCCTGCTTGTGGCCTGGGAAAGCAGTCGAGGATGGCCCAAAGCCTTGGGACCCTGCACCCATGTGGGAGACCTGGAAGAAGTTCATGGCTCCTGGCTTCGGATCAGCGAAGTAGCTCTGGCTGTTGTGGTCCCTTTGGGAGTGAATCATCGGACGGAAGATCTTCCTCTCTGTCTCTCCCACTCTCCCCTCTATATCTGACTACAATAAAAATAAAATAAATCTTAAAAAAATTGTAAAAGAAATGATTAAAGTAGAAAACTTTCGCAAATCAGGAAGCTGAATACATTTTTTTGGCACTGGAAGTATTGTTTTTGACTGTTGGAGATGGTTATTATGGAAATATTTTTTTAGTTCTAGGGAATCAATCTTTTACTGTCGACTGTCTTTTTCTTTTTAATTTCTGTATTATATTTTGACCTTTGTGGTACAATTCTGTAGAGCCTGAGATTCTGTCGGCCCTCTCCTCCCCCACCACAGGCAAATGTCTTTAAAAAAGCAACAGAAAGGGGCCCGGAGCGGTGGCGCAAGTGGTTAAGGTCCTCACCTTGCACGCCCGGGATCCCATATGGGCTCCAGTTCTATCCCGGCGGCCCCGCTTCCCATTCAGCTCCCTGCCTGTGGCCTTGGAAAGCAGTTGGGGACAGCCCAGGGCTTTGGGACCCTGCACCCGCGTGGGAGACCCGGAGGAGTCTCCTGGCTTCGGATTGGCATAGCATCGGCCATTGCGCTCACTTAGGGAGTGTATCATCGGACAGAAGATCTTCCTCTCTGTCTCTCCTCTCTGTATATCCGCCTTTCCAATACAAAAAATAATAAAAATAAATCTTTAAAAAAAAAAAGATACAGTTAACAGTTTCTTTGGGAGTTCATCTTTTGCTGGAGGTAGAGATGCATACAGCACTATATCCTCACATCTGGATATAACAGTCTCCACTACACAACTACTACACATCCCCTTAAGTGAAAAGCCACAAAACAAAATTAACAACAGGAAGAAACAAGAAATTAACAGCACCATGAAGTTAAATAACATGCTACCGAATGACTAATGTGTCACTGAAGAAATGCAAATCAAGAACCTTCTTGAAGAAAATGATGCTACTGTATGATCAATAACAACTTAATCATAAACAGTTTTGAAGACATGAAACTTTAAAGAAAAATCATCAAATTCCATGACAGAGTTTCCACTGATCTTTGTTGGTGAGCTATGTCTCCTGTAGGCAATGCATAAACGGTTTTTGTTTTTCAATCCAGTCTACTTATCTATGACATCTGACTGATGAGTTTAAGCCATTGACATTCAGGGTTTATTATGTATGGGTGGTACTTTGGTCCTGTCATTTTAGCAATGGATTATTCATTGATTCAGTCTTCTGTTGTTATTTTACTGGGCCATTCTTCATATTTGCCTTTGGTTTTGGTAGATTATTCATCTTCTCTGTCAAGAGAACATCTTTAAATATCTTTGTAGGGCAGGATTGCAAGCAGCACATTCATTTAACTTTTCTTCACTGTGGAAGAATTTTATTCCATTTTCAAAGAAAAAGGAAAGCTTTGCTGCGTATGTTATCCTGGACGACATTTTTTTTTCTTTTAGAATCTGGAATATGTCGCTCCACTTCCTGTGAACGGTTTCCTGTGTGTTCACCTGGCATTCCTTTACATATCGACTGATTTTTTTTTCATGTGTACATTTGAGGATCTTTTCCTTATGTCTGATTAAAGAGAGCTTGATTATCATGTGTCGTGCTGAAGACTGCTTTTGGTCAACCCTATTGGGAGTTCTGTGTCCCTCCTGGATCTTGTTTCCCAATGCTTTCTCCAGATGAGGAAAAATTTCCCTTACTGCTTCCATAAATACATTGTTAAACCCAGTTTCTCTTCCTGCCCATTCGGGAACTCCCATAACTCTTATATTTGGACTTTTAATAGTGTCTTTCAGTTCTTGAATACTTTTTTTTTCTTTAACCTGACCCACCTCTGCTTCCAACTTTTTGTTTTTTTCCCCCCGGTGGCAGGAAATTTCTTCTAATTTTGAGATTCTTTCTTCTGCCTCCTTCATCCTACTTTGGAGATTCTCCACTGTACTTTTTTTTTTATTAAAGATTTATTTTTATTATTTTTCCATTGGAAAGGCGGATATACAGAGAGGAGAGACAGAGAGGAAGATCTTCTGTCCGATGATCCACTCCCCAAGTGAGCCCAACGGGCCGATACTATGCCAATCAGAAGCCAGGAGACTCTTCCGGGTCTCCCACAGGGTGCCGGTTCCCAAAGCTTTGGGCCGCCCTCGACTGCTTTCCCAGGCCACAGGCAGGGAGCTGGAAGGGAAGCGGGGCTGCCGGGATTAGAACCGGCGCCCATATGGGATCCCGGGCGTGCAAGGCGAGGACCTTTAACCACTTGCACCACCGTGCCGGGCCCCTCCACTGTACTTTTAATGTGTTCTACTGTATTCTTCATTTTTGATGTATCAGCTTTCATTTGATTCATTCCAGTGTGACATATTCCTTAAATTTCTTGAACTCCTGCTTCACATGCTTCTCATTACTGATAAGTAGCTTTATAACAAATGCTTAATATTCTGTGTGCCCCATTTTCTCGATGTCTTCCTCAGTGAACTCTGAGGTTGGCATAGGGTTTTGCTCCTTTGCAGGGAAGTCTTCAGTAACATTCACTGTGCCTTTGTCTCTTCTTTTGCTCTTGGTCATTGGCCTTCTGGTTAGCAGAGTCTTCTCCTTGGGGCAGGTTTCTAAGCTCTGTCACCCACAGGCCTACAGTTCAATTTTACTTATTGCAGTTGGTACACGGCTCTCTGTTTGCAGTCACTTGTACTACTCCCTCCAGCAAGTTCCAGGTCTGGGTTCTTACGTTAAACTTCCACCATGGTCTCTGCAGCCCCAGCTCCTGGCTCACCACTCTAACTCCTGTGACCTTGTGCTGAGGCTGCACTGTTGTCTGTACTTCCTTCTCCCACTCTGGTTCGAGCAGGTCCCAGGATTAGGGAGACACCAGGTGTCCTATATAGCCAGGTTGTTGGTGGTGCTGATCTTGCTGGAATCTGTTGGCTGTTAGGTCTGAGGGTCACATGAACCTATTTTACTCCATATTTTATTCCACAAAGTTGATAGTATTTTCTCCTGGGACCAGTGCAATGCACTGAGCTCAGTGAGTTCTCGCGAGCTCTGTGCATGCACAGCTCACTGTTGTCCCTGCTGTCTCAAAGCCTTTGCCACACTGTACAAAATGGCGCCTGATGTGCCACTACTAGAGTTCTTGATCTGTTGGCTGTCAGGTCTGAGGGATACTCGGACCTGTCTTAGGTGGAACCTGTAGGATGCCATGTTGCTGGAGTTCACTGAGCCAGCAATGAGTTCACTTCCAGCTCAATGCATGCGTAGTCCTCTCCTATAGCTTTTGTCTTCTTGCACAAAATGGCACCCGATTTGGCTCTACACTGTGAAATCCGCCCTGTTCTTTCACTGCCCATCTGGGATCTGCTGTTCTGTCTCAGCTGCTGGTCAAATCAAACACACCAGCAGGGATGGGCAGTTCTTTGTTTGGGTTCACCTCCTGAACTCCCAGTCAATTTCCCTTCCCACCTTGTTGCTGGTGGAGTTCCAGCTGTTAGTGCAGTTTAGAACATCGCTGGCTGAATGCTGCCTGGTTACTGGTCACTGCAACACCACACCTTGTGTCTGCTGCTTTTCCATGTCTGTGTGTCTCCAGGTACCCCTCTCTTGTCATTCTGTCCTCTCCTGTTCTAGAACGTGCCCTCTCAGCTTTACACTGGCTAATGCTTCTTCATCTGGTGATAAAATAATGTGCTCTAGGTACCCCACTGGAAATGATGACACCAGAGGTCAGAGCTCTGGTGCAGCGTCAAAACCAATACCTGTGGCACTGGCATCCCATGTGGGCAGTGGTTCGAGTTCCAACACCTCCACTTCTGAAAGCAGGAAAAGATGGCTCAAGTGCTTACAACCCTGCACCGATGTGGAAGGCTTGAAGAAGCTCCTGGCTTCTGGCTTGGCATGAACCCACCTCCAGCACTGCAGCCATCTAGTCAAGGAGTAATCCAGTGGCTGGAATTTCTCTGTCTCTCTGTAACCATGCCTTTCAGATAAATATATATAAGTATATAAATACATACATATGTATTTATATTTATTGAGATGTGTGTGTATGTGTGTGTGTGTATATATATATATATATAAAGGTAGGTGGGCAGGCCCCAGTAAATGAACTCAATCCGGCTTCAGAGTTCAAATCTAGGGCTAGCACTTTTGCACAGCAGGTTAAGCTGTCGTGTACAGTGCCAGTGTACAGTCACCAGTTCAAGTTCTGGTTGCTCCACTTCCCATCCAGCCCCGTGTTAATACAGGGAAAGCTGCAGATGATGGTTCAAGTTCTAGGCCATCTTGCGAGACCCAGCACTGTGGCCCTGTCGGTTAAGCTGCCTCCTGCAATACAATACCAGCATTCCATAAGGGCATCAGTCACAGTTCTGGCCGTTCCACTGATCCAGCTCCGCACTACCATCATGCGAAAGCAGCAGCAGACGGCCCAAACGTCTGTGCATCTGTGTGGCCATCTGAGGAAGTGAATCAGCAAACGCAAGATCTCTCTTTCTGCCTATCCCTGTCTCTGAGTAACTCTTTCAAATAATCTTTAAAACAAGAAAAAAAAATGCAGGAAAAAGATCAAAAATTGCTACAGTACCTATTTAGAGTTTTTCTAAAGGAATACATGGACTAGGGAAGCAGTGGAGACAGCCAAGGTAGCAAATGCTAAGCCTCCCAGAGGAGCCCCAACGCCAACAAGGAGACAAGCAGGAAGAAAACCGGGCAGAGCTAAGCAGGGACGATTCCAGAGGACTCAGATAACGAGCGGCCATGTTACTTTATTCTGTTCACCATCACAGTCACCTCAACCAGACCAGCTTCAACACTGCCTGACAGACCACTTCCTTCACAACAAAGACTTAGTTCTAAGTTCGACTGAACCTTTTCTTTTTTACTGGAAAGGCAAATTTGCAGAGAAAGAGAGATTTCCACCTGCTCACTCACCCCAATGGCCACAACAGCCAGAGTGCTGGGTGCTCCTGGCCAGGAGCTAGGAGGTTCCACCGGGTCTCCCATGTGGGTACTCAGTCCAAAGGACCTGAACATCCTCTGCTGCCCTTTCAGGCTGCAAGCAGGAAGCTGGATCGGAAGCAGAGCATATCCAGGAGGCAGGCGCTGCAGTCAGAGGATTAGCAGGCTACACCAGAGAACTGGGCTCTCTCCTGAACTTTTTAGTATAATGCATGTGAAAGCTAATTTTATGAGTCAACCTGACAGGGCTAAGGCATGACCAGATTGCTGGCAAAACATTATATCCATGAATGACTATTACAGTGTCCCCCGCAGAGGTTAGCATTTGAATCATTAAACTGAGTGAAAAAAAAAAAATCAGCAGCAGCCTCCTCACCCACCTTGGCAGGTATTCCCCAAAGCAGTAGAAGGTGTGTATATGCTGCCCAGGGTGTCCGAAGGTGTCGCCTGCTGCCCGGGGACAGCCCTGCTCCTGCTCTCGGGCAGTCTCACCCCAGCGCTTACGCACAGGTTCCCCCAGCTGCCATCATGGCCCCTCTCAGCCTCCACATCGTGTGATCCAATGTCTCGTACATTCCATGTGTGTGTGCATGTATGTGCATGCGTGTGTGTGTGTGTGCACGCACGTGTGTATAACCCACTGACTTTCCTCCTCTGGAGAATTCTAACAAATACATTACAATTTACTGAAGAGCAATCAACACTTGGCAAGAATTAGCTGGCTTTTGCTACTGGCTTTTTTTTTTTTTTTAATACTTACTTATTTGAAACACAGAAACGCCACAATGGCTGGGGCTAAGCCATGCCAAATCCAGGAGCCCAGAGCACCACTTGTGTAGCACTTGGGCCATTTTCCTCTGCTCTCTCTGGTGTACCACTAGCAGGGGGCAGGACCACAGCGGAACAAGCAGGACTGCACCCAGCACTCACAGGACATCTCCTCACAGGACAGGCAGAGACCCTAGCCGCTGCAGCACAGTGCCAACCCCGTGCAGCTCTCACCATCGATTACGTTGTGAGACTTTTGGAACACTACTGCTTCCAAACAGGAACCAAAACTGCTGTTCAAAGCAAGACATCACTTTGCAATCTTTATTCAGATTTACCTATATTACTAAACTTCTGACTCAAATTCCAAAGTAAAGTTTTTAACTCTCAAAACAGTATTTTGGGGCCCGGCGCGGTGGCGCAAGTGGTTAAAGGTCCTCGCCTTGCACACCCGGGATCCCATATGTGCGCTGGTTCTAATCCCCGCAACCCCGCTTCCCTTCCAGCTCCCTGCCTGTGGCCTGGGAAAGCAGTCAAGGACGGCCCAAAGCTTTGGGACCCTGCACCCGCGTGGGAGACCCGGAAGAGGCTCCTGGCTTCAGATCGGCATAGTATCGGCCCGTTGCGCTCACTTGGGGAGTGAATCATTGGACGGAAGATCTTCCTCTCTGTCTCTCCTCTCTGTATATCCACCTTTCCAATGAAAAAATAATAAAAATAAATCTTAAAAAAAAAAATTAAAAAAAAAAACAGTATTTTGAATGGTAAGGTTTTCTTTTTAAGATACAGAGAAAAAGATCTTCCAGCCTCTGGTTCACTTCCCAAGTGGCTGCAACGACCAGAGCTCAGCTGATACAAAACAGGAGACAGGAGCTCTTCCAGGTCTCCCACATGGGTGCAGGGTCCCAAGGCTTTGGGCCATCCTTGACTGCTTTCCCAGGCCACAAGCAGGGAGCTGGATGGGAAGTGGAGCTGCCGGGATTAGAACCGGCACCCATATGGGATCCAGGCACATGCAAGGCAAGAACTTCAGCCATGAGGCTACTGCGCTGGGCCCAGTATAAGTTTTTAAAATAATCACTTCTTGGGGCAGAAGTGCTATGGCGCAGCAAGGCAAGCCACACCAGGACACTAGCATCTCCCGAGCAATAGGAGCTCCAGTTTCAGTTGTGGCGCTCCACTTCCAAGCCGGTTCCCTGCTGAGGGAGCTGAGAAAGCAGCAGCAGATGGCCCGCCCGAGGACCTGGGCCGCCACCCAAGTGGGAGACATGCATGCAGTTTCAGGCTGCTGGCTTGAGCATGACCCCGTAGTCCAGGCTGTCACAGCCATTTCGGGGAGTGAACCAGCAGACGCAAAATCTCTTTCCCTTGCCCACTGTGTACCGTCTCTCAAATACAGAAAACAAATCTTAAAAAAAAAAAAAATCATTTCTCAACTCATTTAGATTAATTCCCAGGTTAAGCACCACACCCTTCTCCCAATGCACTTCCCTCTGGCTTGTACCAGAACTCCTCACCAGAGGTAAACACAGTCGACCAAATCAAAACTGTCATCTCAGTGTATTTTTAACATCCTGTGTGTGTGTGTGTGTGTGTATTGCTCTAAGTGTATTTTCAGTTTCAATAGTAACCACGGAAATGAAAACTACACTCAGAATACCATTCAATATAACTGAATGGCAAAAAATGTTCAAGTCCACCGTATAGAAAGCATGAAGGTCAACAGGAATTCTAGCATACAACTACTACAACAATAGTTCTAGGGCTAGCATTGTGACACTACCATTAAGCTACCATTTGAAACTCCAGCATCCAATACAGGTGCTGGTTCAAGTCCCAGCTACTCCACTGCCAATCCAGCTCCTTGCTAACACGTCCGGAAAAGCAGCAGCAAACAGCCACGTCTTTGGGCTCATGCACAAATGCAGATCAGGAAGCAGTCCCACGCCCCGGGCCTCAGTGCGGCCCAGCGCTGAGTGCCGCAGCTCTTGGGGAAAATGAACCAGCGGATGAGATAACGCTTCATCCCTCCCTCTGTATAACTCTGCATTTCAGATAAATAAATCTTTTTAAATGAACAATAAACTCATCTAGAAAAAAAAAAAGAACAAGTTGTGAATATCCATAAAGTCAATGTCATCATCAATGAAAGCACAGAGAGAAAAACACGGGCTGCGATCTGCTGAGAAGCCTCATGCAGTGCAAACGCGGACTAGCCAGGCACGTGGAAGTCCCCTTCAGCAGAGCAGGCACAGGGTCACACAGTAAAAGGCCCAAGACGCCCAACACGGTGTTCTCAACACAGCCAGCTGGGGGCACCCACTGGGCAGCACACGCTCGCTGAGGCCCCGCTGCGCACCCACCTGTCCCAGTCCTCGTCCGCGGCTCTTCTCCTCCAGGAGCGCTCCGCGCCAGGCTTATCAAACTGGTCAAAGTCGTCATCTGCAGGAAAGGGCCCAGAGTGTCAGATTTACTAAATCAAGGCACACACACAAAACGTTCAGAGCACGAAACATTCTAAAATGCAACATTTTAAAATACAATTTTCACCTGCAACTAGCAAGGATACACTGGTCAGTTTTAGTAAAAAAAAAACTATATATATATATTATTTTTAAAGTACAAAGTTAGTTGAAGAAAACCTACTGAACAGTATCAGACATCAAAAAACACTGTTTTTTGCCAGGAAATACTGAGCGGTCCTCAGAATCAGAAGAACAGTAAACTTCCTTCGGGACAAGGGAGAGGAGCTTTCTCTGGTCCTTACATAGTTCCAACTCTGGGTCCCCACCCTCTGCAATGACCATCAGGGTCGCTCCAGACACCCCCTCCAAACACACACACACACACACACATACACACACAAATTGGAATAGATAAGCAGAGAACAACAAGGAAAGATTGGTCAGCATGGACTCACACATACCCTACTAGGTAGGACACAAAGAACAAGTTCTCCTAACCAAGGTATGAGAGATTTCTCCGCACACCCCTCCTAAAACTGCTTTGCACCTCAATTGTGAAAATGTCATTGAAATAGTCACAGGATGTTGTTAAGAACTTACATGTAATTTTAACATATTGTTTACTCAACACTATGTCAATTAATTCCATAATGTTATATAATGTTGCTGATGGGGCTTTTGATTGATCGGGATTTTACTCTTTTGGCCCTACCTTCAGACCAGAGGTCTCCCCAAGAAGCCATTGAACTTATCTGGACAATAAGATGCTGGATTCTATGCTTAGTATATGCTTACAATGAAGGAATGTCAACTGAACTTGAACTGTGGTTAAACAACAAGGTGGAGGAATCCACCATAGGCAGAGGGTGAGGGGAGGAGTGGGGGGAATCCCAGTATAGAACTATGTCTCATAATACAATGTAGTCAATAAAGGAAAAAAAAAAAAAACAGTTTTTTTGAAATCAGACCAAATGTATTCTTTACAAGATAATAGGTCCTGAATACAAGGTTTTACCACATGAAAAAGAAAATCTAATATGTTGGATGACACTTTTATAATGCCTTTTTGTAATATTCACATTTCTCTGTAATAATCAGAAAAGGCAAAATCCTTACATAACAGAAGCATAAATAACTCTAGTAACAAGTATATAATGCAAGCCACACACATAATTTTCATTTTTTAAAACAGTCATTTTTATTAGAAAGGCAGATTTTACACAGAGAGGTCTTCTAACTACTAGCTCACTCCGCAAACGGCCACAACGGCTGGAACTAAACCGTTGTGCAGCCAGGATTTAGGAGCTTTCTGGGTCTCACGGGTGGGCACAGAAGCCCAAGGTCTTAGGCCATCCTCCAATGCCTTCCCAGGCCATAAGCAGGAAGCTATACAGGAAGTGGAACAGCTGGGATTCGAACCGAGGCCCACACTGGATGCTGGCACTGCAGGCAGACAACTAGCTTGTTATGCCCCACACTCGCCCCGTCATTTTAAGTACCCCATTTCTTAAAAGTAAAGAACAGGGCGTGGCACAATGGCTCGATTGGATAACCCTCCACCTCCAACCACGAGGATCCCACGTGGGTGCCAGTTCATGTCCTGGCTGCTCCACTTCCCATACAGCTTACTGCCTGTGGCCTGGGAAGGCAACAGAGGATGGCTCAAGCTCTTGGGACCCTCAGCCACGTGGGAGACTAAGAAGAAGCTCCTGGCTTCTGGCTTCAGGTCAGCTCACCTCCAGCCACTGTGGCCACTTAGAAAGTGAACTGTGGACAGAAGATCTGTCTCTGTCTTTCCTTCTCTCTGTAAATCTGTCTTACCAATAAAAATAAGCAAGCTTTAAAAAAAAATTTTAAAGGTGAAATTTTATTTAATATATCCAAATAAGATGCATATTAATCAATAAAATATGCTAATGGGATATTTTACACTTTCTCCCAACTTTACATGCCTTATTCTGCACACAGCCCATTTTTACTGGCTGAGTTGTATTTCAGACGCTTTGTGTTTTATGTGTATGAACTGGTTACTGAAGCTGACAGTGTAGAAACAGCAGTTGAGAGCACAACCGTTAGGGTAATGGGACAGCACAGCATGTAAAGCCGTTGCCTCCAACACCGGCATCCCACCCAGACACCAGTGAGTCCCCACCATCCCACTTCCCATCCTGCTCCCTGCCAACGCCTCTGGGAAAGCATCAGAGAACGGTCCGAGTGTTTCAGTCCCTGAGCCTGTGAATGCCTACATCAAGAACTGAGGAGGAACAGCTCAGCATTACTTTATATATGGAAGTTAAAAGAACAGAACAAAATAAGCCAGAAACTAACAGAAAAAGTAAAAAAGAAAATGTAACGAGTTAAATGAGACAGACTAGAAAACTTTCAAGCTAATCATTCTATATGACACCACTATAAAACTAAACAAAGATATTACACAGAGAAAAAAACCACATTGCTATTTTTCATGACCATATTGGCCAGCACTGTGACATAACATAGTAAACCTCCAACTAAGGCACCAGTATCCCATATGGATGCTGGTTCGAGCCTCTGTAGCTCCACTTCTGATCCAGTGCTCTAGTAACAGCTTGGGAAGGCAGCAAAGGGCCCAAATCCTTTGGGGAGTGAACCAGTGGATAGAAGATCAAGCTCTCCACCTCTCGCGCGCTCTCTCTCTCTCTCTCTCTCTCTCTCTGTATGTAGGACAACTGACTGGTATCATTTGCATGAGAACAACTGAGTGGGTATCATTTGAATGGGAACAACGGATTGGATATACAAAACAAAGAGAAACTTTCAGACAAGGGTGTGGAAACAATTGATGGGTTCCGCAGACAGGCTTACAGGAACTCCGTAAACTCCTCAGGACCTCTCCCCTTATCCTATGTGCCCCTCAGTCTGTAAAAGCCTGATGCCACTAATACAGTTTGGCAACTGACCATCAGTAAGCCACGCGTGGGATTATCACCAAGTCCACTGCTGCAGGACAGCGAACATCTATAATTCTGCCTTTCAATTAAAAATAATACTTCAAAAGGATTTATATCATGATCCCATGGGGCTTATTTCAAGACTACAGAGCTAATTCTCAAAACTCAATGTTGAAGAAAATAACAGATCGTATTAACTAAACTAAAAATGAAAAATCAATAGATTGTCTCATAAAAGTAAAAGATAAAGTCCAATGTCCAATCTTTTATAAAAATACCCACCATCCTAGGAACAGAAGGGAACTTCCTCAACCCAAGCAAGCTAAGGGCAGCAATCAAAGACCTGCTGCGATCATTACAAAGCTGAAAAACGCAATCTTTTCTCTCCTGACCAGATGACTGCTCGCATCACTTCTATCCGTTGTTGTATTGGTAGATCTACCTGAGGCATCCAGTTTAGAAAAAATGGTAAAAGGAATTCAGATTCACAAGTCAATAAAATTGCTTTTATTCACAGCTAACATGACTGGCTGACTATGCAGAAAATAAGCTGAAACAAACAAACATAAAGTACTAGAGTAAATGCATTTACACGGCTGTAACACACAAGATTTGAATGCCAAAAATCAATCAACACAGTGAACTAGAAATTGTACTTTTGAAAGCATCCTATAATCAATCACAAAGAAATACCCAATATTTGAAACATAATAAAAGATGTGACTTATAAACTAAGAACAAAGATTGCCAAGCATCTTCAGCACCTCAGTGAGTGAGACACTCTTGCTAAGTGGCCCAGACCCACCATCGAGGCGGGCGTGCGGCAGTGAAGACACCCACAGGCGACACTCCACGTCCGGCCACCCGGTGAGAGGCCTGGCCCAGGCTCTTGCTGTCCTTCACCAGGTTCCCGCCTCCCACACAGGTGACCTGGCTCACCTTCCCAGCTCTCGGCTTCAGCCCCGAGCCAATGCCAATGCCCGTGGTCACCTGGGGAGTGTGTCCGCAGGTCAGAGTTTGTGCTGCTTAGACTCACCTGTTGCCCTATCTCTCAAGTAATTTTTTAAAGTTTTAAAAAGGCGTTAATATTATGAAATATCAACTCATGCCCAACCCGATTTATTAACTGAATGCAGTCCCAATCCAAATTCCCTAGGTGGGTGTTGTGGCACAGTGGAGTTGAACTCTGCCTCCCTTAAACACAAAGCCTCCTATTAAGGTACACCGGGCAGGCAGTCTCCAGTCTCGGATGCCTGTGACCGACATGGGAAACCAGACAACATCCTTGGCTTCTGCCTTCAGATCAGCCCATTTCAGGCTCCTGCAGTCATTTGGGGAACAAACTGCAGTGGGAGCAGAGGGCAAGGGGAGAGATCTGCCTCCTCATCCACCCTGCTCTCTGTAACTATTCCAAATAAATAAGAAAATCATAAAGGAAAAAAAAAAAAACTTATATTCTCTAAAAGACATCATTAGGAAAATGGAAGCAAGTCAGACTAGAGGAAACTGCAAGCCCTGTGCAGCGTGTTCCCAGTTCCCTCCTGCTGTTCCCCAGCCATCAAAGCCAACGAGGCCTGGCTGTCAGCCTGCAGAACTCAACCAAGGCAGCGCGGGCACCCCACCTGCTCCCCACGTCAGTGGAAGCAATCCTGGGCAGAGCCTTTAAGTTATGGCGCCTGCCATAACTCTAGATAATTAGTGCCAGAACTGAACCCAACTATTGATGTAGCGGTACAACTAGTCAATCCAGGGCAGTGAGCATATCAAGCTCTGCTTTAACGCTACAAAAGAATACTGAATGTCACGCTGGTGGAGGGCAACGGTACAACACCCTCCCAAACCATGAATGTATCTGCCAACTCAGAAGCTGTCTAGATTCAGGAGTCTGCAGGGGTCTGTTACAATGGCATGGCTGAGCAACACCAGCGCCTGCTGATAATGGCGCACACATCTCTAGTCCCTCTGCCCGCTGCTAGGGTTAGGGAGCTGAGGCTTTAATTGCAAAGACCTTCCACCTGTCAGCACAGGATGGTTCTCCAAGCAGCCC